CCAACTTCAAAGCTGTTGTACGTCTGTTGTGTAACAGTAGGAGATCATCTTGGACACCTGAAACAGGGCCCTTTCTGTACCAGCAGCCTGTGCAAGTTCTCATTCCTTGGAGCTCAAATATCTCAGAACTCTTGTCAGTGCAGCGTAATTTTTTAAGGTATATGTAATATACATGTTCTCTATATTGTGCTAAATAAATCACTGTTTCTATTTGTTTTTTCCAGTTGAATTGATCGTAAATTGAGATTTGGTGATGCTCATTAATTGTAAGTGTTTTAGAATTTCCTTCTAACATCTGCCCAACCTTTTCTTGTGCTATTTCCTTCCCTCGGCTTGTGTCTGCATCGGAGTTTAGCTTTGATAGTGGGCCAAATGGCCTCTTTGAATTTAAACATGTAATTAAACACCATCCCTTGGAGATGACTGGGGTGAGAAAGTGCCATGATTATTTGTAGTGTTAATCAAACTGCAATAAAACTTCTGATCCCGAATGGAGTGAGTTTTTATTTCATGGGATTAGGTCTTTGCTGGCAAGGCCAGTCTTTGTTGCCTGTTCTTAATTGCTCTTAAACTGAGTGGCTTGTCCAGCCACGTGGCAGTGAGCCACTTTTGGAGTCTGGTGTCACATTCAGGCCAGGCTGGATAAGGGTGGCTAATTTCTTTCAAAGGCTATTGGTCCAAAAGCCCATCTGGCTTTAAGAAGTAGCAATGGTTGCTGTGACTACCTTTTCCAAATGTATTCACTGCATTTAAAATTACCTAGGCTGTTGTGATGAGATTTGAGGGACCCTCTCCCCGCCTAGTGTCCCTGTAGTGTCAGCCTGGGCTTCTGGTTTAATAGTCCAGTGACAAGACCACTACACTACTGCCTTCCTTTCCTGTTCCTTTATGGGAAGCTAACATAGAACATTGTGAGCAGGATCAATATTGGTGGTGTTTTTGGTTCAGGGTTGTAGGCAGTAATTTGAAAACTGCTGCTGGCTTTTGGGGCAGAGGGGCTGTTGTCACTAACACTAGAAGTCTCGTTTAAGTGTCACATTCAAGCAGTTGTCTTATTTTTTCAAATCACGCTATTGGGAATTGTGGTTATTGGAGACTTCTAGATGCAGTGCTGGATTTAATTTTTCTGTATTGGCAAACAGGCTTGTTCCTGTTCTTCTTTAAAACAATGTAAATATGCCAAGTGCTGATACTCACTGCCTTGGGCTTTTGAGGGGAGACTCCTAGCTTTTACCAATGATGCTTAGCACTGGGCTATGAATGCAGCTGATTCAGAAAGTGCATCTGCTGAGTTGACATTATCAGCAGAACTGAGGGAAAGCTTGGGAGGCTCCTCATGAGGTGATACAGGTCAGTTACAGGCAAAAATCTGTAGTCAATTTTTGCCATGAGTAGCTGGATTATTAAATGCAATCAGTCACTTAACATGTTTTCTTTATCACTAGGTACGTCTTCAACTCAAATATCTGGACCTGTTCTCTGAGGGAAGTGGACATTTCATCAAACGTGTGGGTTTCTTGATGGAGTGGGTTTTAAAACTAACTTTTTCCACTTCTAGTCAGCATTTTCAGTCCTAGCATCTGCATTTTGGTTGTTGCAATCTCCAGTGAATGGAAGATGCTTGTAGGACTGATCAGTGATGCTTGTATTGTGCCATTGGTCTGTTCTCTACAAACTAGGATGAGCCCTCTTCTTGCAAGTCTCTTGCAGAGGTAATCACTGTCCATTTTTTAAAATTGGTCTGGTTCACAATTGCAAGTACTGTCTCAATAAAAGTAACTAACTTTTTTTAAAATTTAGTTTCAAGTGTGGTGTCTCTTTTTTAAACTGGTAATTAGTAGTGACCTGAATAGCTGTTAATATTTATGCTGAGCTGTGAGGGATGCATGTAGTCTGTTGTCAACTGTAGTCACATAAATGAATGTTTCTGAAGTGAGGCTAGTCTGGCCATGCAGCTACTCTGAAAGCGGAAGCTGTACACCTCTACTCTGGTATCCTGCCTAATTTGCTGACTCTTTGGATATTGGGAAAGTAACAGATCACATGCTTAACTGTCAGAATGGAAAGTTGCAATGAGCAAGTAATAACCATTCAGTAGGTCTGACAGCATCGCTGAAGGAAAAAACAGTTAACATTTCGGGTCCTGTGACTGTTCCTCAGAACTCAGGAAGGGTCCCAGGACCTGAAATGTTAACTTTTTTTTTTCCTTTCACAGATGCAGCCAGACCTGCTGAGCTTCTCCAGCAACTTTGTTTTTGTTCCTGATTTACAGCATCTGCTGTTCTTTCACTTATTTTAAGTGACCATTCAGTCCCTTGTGCCAACTCTGTTAGTCAATAAAGCCATGACTGATTGGATTGTAACCTCATCGATGTTTTTGCCTTCCCCCAAACCTTCCTTTTGCTTAGCCAGAATCTATTTCAATTCTGCCTTTTTAAATATGAAAGGATTCTGTGCTGCTTCCTTGACAGGAAGAACATTTCAAAGCCTTCTCTGACTCTTGTGCTGCAAGCTAATAAAAGCTGGAGTTTAAATTCACCCTTCAAAGCAGATAACTAACCTTTGTCAGGAATCATTGAACAAACTGTTTCTGCCCTGAGATCCAGAGAGGTGAAATGAAACTAGGAATTGGTATGTTAACAAGAAATGTTTTTCTCTAACTTAGAATAGGGATCTTTACAAGATTTTGTTGAGGTAAACAGCATGAATTCTTTTAAAGGGAAATTAGATAACAGGCTAAGTTGGGTGGAATGATTGAATGTAAATGCTAATGGGCTGACCTGATTTCCATGCTGTAAATGTAACTGTACTGCAGTCAAGACCTGCTGACTGGGGTCTTTTTGACCAAAAAACACCAGGTTATAGCCCAGCGGGCTTATTTGAAAACAAGCTTTTGGAGTCTCCTCCAGGTGCTTGACCATGAGCACCTGAAGAAAGATTCTGAAAGCTGATATTTTCAAATAAACCTGTTGAACTATAACCTGGTGTCATGTGGTTTTTGACCTTGTCTACTCCAGCACCTCCCCATGGATTTTTGGAGATGAGAATGCTATCACTACTGTAAATACAAAATACAGTAGTGTTGAAAAATGTGAAATTTAAGATGCTGTAGATGTTCAATAGGTGTGGTAGCATATGGAGAGAGCAGGCTTCAAGTTTAATTGGAACTTGGAATATTAGAAATGTAATAGGTTTTTAACCAAGTGAGGGGTGGGGGCAGAGATTATGCAATGTTTTTTTTTTTAAAAACTCTCATTTTGATTAGGCATATGATCAGTAACTGGAGTCTACAGGAGCTGTGAATGCCACATGATCTAAATTCAAGTTGAGGACAAACTAGAAATGAACCAAACCAGCAAGGAAATGATGGGGAACAGGTTGTGATGAGTCATGACATTGTGTAATTTGCCCAGGCAAAAGATGAAGTGCTCTTGATTATGTTGAATGTCGTTAGAACACTATAGCAGGCCAAGGACATAGATCGGAATGGGAGCATAGTTACCAATTAAAATGACAAAGCTTTTATTGGGGTCATGTTTTCTACATACAGTAGAGATGTAACGCAAAATGGTCACTTGTGCTGCCACTAATGATTTGAAGCCATGGAGCCAGTGTCACTTGCTGAGATGGACCATTGTCAGCCACTTCTCATTTGTACAAGGCTGTTATGAAAAAGAGCCTTTCAAAATGAGGAAAAGTTTTATGCTGTAGAAAAAAACCCACCTGAAATGGTCTTATTACAAATAATCAAAGATTCAACCTCTTTTAAATGAGATGACCACCTTGTAGATAGGGTTTGACAAAGACCCATGCCAATTGAACAAGGAATTTCAAAGTGGCAATAGGGTGACCTTTTATTGAGGTTTGAGCATCTGAGAGAATATTTTAGAGTAAAAAGATTCCATTTGTAATCAGCCATTTCAACTAGACCTTGTAAATTTTTATTCCTTTCGTATAACAGGGTGTCTAAAAAGTAGAGAACAAGGTGTAGAGCTGGATGAACACAGCAGGCCAAGCAGCATCAGAGGAGCAGGAAGGCTGATGTTTTGGGCCTAGACCCTTCATCAGAAATGGGGGAGGGGAAGGGTGTTCTGAAATAAATAGGGAGAGAGGGGGAGGCAGATAGAAGATGGATAGGTGGAGAGGAAACAAACAAACAGGTTGAAGAGGCGGGGATGGAGCCAGTAAAGGTGAGTGTAGGTGGTGAGTCAGGGAGGATGGACAGGTCAAGGGGGTGGAATGAGGTTAGTAGGTAGGAGATGGGGGTGTGGCTTGAGGTGGGAGGAAGAACAGGTTAGGGAGGCGGGGACAAGCTGGCCTGGTTTTGGGATGCGGTAGGGGGAGGGGAGATTTTGAAGCTTGTGAAATCCACATTAATACCATTGGGCTGCAGGGTTCCCAAGCGGAATATGAGTTGCTGTTCCTGCAACCTTCGGGTGGCATCGTTGTGGCACCGCAGGAGGCCCAAGATGGACATGTCGTCTGAGGAATGGGAGGGGGAGTTGAAATGGTTCGCAACTGGGAGGTGCAGTTGTTTATTGCGAACCGAGCGTCGGTGTTCTGCAAAACGGTCCCCGAGCCTCCGTTTGGTTTCCCTGATGTAGAGGAGGCCACAACGGGTACAGCGGATGCAGTATACCACACTGGCAGATGTGCAGGTGAACATCTGCTTGATGTGGAAAGTCTTCTTGGGGCCTGGGATGGGGGTGAGGGGGGAGGTGTAGGGGCAGGTGTAGCACTTCTTGTAGTTGCAGGGAAAAGTGCTGGGTGTGGTGGGGCTGGAGGGGAGTGTGGAGCGGACAAGGGAGTCACGGAGAGAGTGGTCCCTCTGGAAAGCAGATAAGGGTGGGGAGGGAAAGATGTCTTTGGTGGTGGGGTCGGATTGCAGATGGCGGAAGTGTCGGAGGATGATGCGTTGGATCCGGAGGTTGGTGGGGTGGTATGTGAGGACAAGGGGGATTCTTTTTTCGTTCTTATTGCATGGACGGGGTGTGAGGGATGAGTTGCGGGAGACACGGTTGAGGGTGTTCTCGACCACTGAGGGGGGGAAGTTACAGTCCTTGAAAAACGAGGACAACTGAGATGTACGGGAGTGGAATGCCGCATCCTGGGAGCAGATGCGGTGAAGGAATTGAGAATAGGGGATGGCATTTTTGCTGGGAGGAGGTGTATTCTAGGTAGCTGTGGGAGTCGGTGGGCTTGAAATGGATATCGGTTTCTAGGCGGTTGCCCGAGATGGAGACAGAGGTCCAGGAAGAGGAGATAGGTATTAGAGATGGTCCAGGTAAACTTAAGATTGGGGTGGAAGGTGTTGGTGAAGTGGATGAACTGTTCGAGCTCCTCGTGGGAGCACGAGGCGGCGCCGATACAGTCATCAATGTAATTGAGGAAGAGGTGGGGTTGAGGGCCAGTGTAGGTACGGAAGAGGGATTGTTCCACGTAACCTACAAAGAGGCAGTGTAGCGAAGGCCCGTGCGGGTACCCATGGCCACCCCCTTTGTCTGTAGGAAGTGGGAGGAATTGAAAGAAAAGTTGTTGAGGGTGAGGACGAGTTCGGCTAAGCGGATGAGGGTGTCAGTGGAGGGGGACTGGTCAAGCCTGTGGGACAGGAAGAAGTGGAGGGCCTTTAGGCCATCTGTATGGGGAATGCTGGTGTAGAGGGACTGGACGTCCATGGTAAAGATGAGGTGTTGGGGACCGGGGAATTGGAAGTTCTGGAGGAGGTGGAGGGCGTGGGTGGTGTCACAGACATAGATAGGGAGTTCCTGGACCAAGGGGGAGAAAATGGAGTCCAGATAGTTGGAGATAAGTTCGGTGGGGCAGGAGCAGGCGGAGACAAAAGACTGGTGTTGTTGCTGTAATGACACTGGTGCAAGTTGGGAGAGAAAGCTGTGGAGAAATAAACTTTTGGTTTTGGATGAGAGTATAAGCAATTTGTTTCAGGACTGGATGTTAGGGTTCTTAGACAACTTCTGATAAGGGAGATAGAGACTGTTTCTGCTGGCTGAAGGTTGTACCTTCAGTACAAGGTGGACTCGTGACTGAGACAAGGAGAAATGCTTTTATTTAATGGCTATAAATCTTTAGAACAGTGTAACCTCTTAGTGAAAACTGCAAAAAGATGGAAGCTGAGAGTGCAAGGTTTTTTTTTGAAGGGAGCACAGCTGTAAAAACTGGGTTGGAACACTACAACCATTGCTGCTTCATAGGTTGGGACCCAAGTATGCCAGGGGACCATAAGTAGGTGAAAATGGGTTGGCTGTGCTAAAAGCAGTCCATGTCATGACAGGGCCTGGTGTGTGTGGAGGGGTAAAGGACGTGACCATTAAGGTGTTCAAGTTCTAAAGTTAGCAAATTCTATGTGGAATCCTGAAGGTTGTAGGGTCTCCATGTGGAGAATGAGATGTTGTTCTTCCAGCTTGTGCACAGCCTTACTCGGGTGTGTGATAAATGTTGACCAGGGAGCACCATGGCATGTTGAAGTGGCAGGCAGCTGGATGCTTGGTTATCTTTGCGGACAGAAGGTAGGTGTTCCGCAAGTTGCCTGGTCTGCCTTTCGTAAAAGGAAAGTGAGGTTGAGGTAGATCAGACTTGAAAGTAGACAAAGGGGCTGGATAACTTCCATTATGTTCAAACTACTTAAGGGTCTGTCCAGCCTTTCATTTTGAAATGAGTAAAGTAGGCATGTTTCAGGTTTAATCATTGTTTGCTATATTAAGTGACTAATTCATGTGGTTTGGTAATACAAACTGAAGCTAATGTGGAACAGTATGCACACTTCTGCTTAAATTGAGCTACT